TGACCAACACTGAGGAGGTCTTTCACTTCCTTCTTGACGAAGTCTCGCCGGTCACTGGCCAGGTACCGCTTCTTTTGGCGTACCGGTCGACTTCCTTCCCTCACGGCCAACCGGTGGCAGATAACAGAGCGATCTATCCCGGGCATATCCGCCACGCTCCATGCGAATATGCCCGCGTACTCTTGGAGGACCCGTGTAACCTGCTCCTTGAGATCCTCGGGGAGATTTGCTCCAATTCTGACCATCCTCGAAGAATCACCCGGGTGAAGTTCGATTTCCACCGTTTCAGCCTCGGGCTCCAGTTTCTCCCGGGTCTCTCCTTTTGTGATCTCTTGGGAGATGACATTGACCCCCCTGGTCATTTTCTTGACTGCCCCGACATAGCACTCCCGGGCGTTCCTCTGGTCGCCCTTCACCTCACCCACACCACCTGGAGTGTGGAACTTCATGCATAGATGAGGCATGGAAATCACCGCCCCAACTTTATTGATGCCTGGCCTTCCTAGAATTGCGTTGTGGACGCATTTGATGTCCACAACTATGAACCGCATCTTCTTCCACACGGTCTTTTCACCTGATCCTAGTTCGACCGGTAGAACTATCAGGAGTGATCTGCGGATCCGTAGCTTGCGGGGGACGCGACGGCCCTGCAGCGTTAAGTGCACCGGCCAAGTTGACAGGGGCCATGGTGCTGACCAGCTGGGGCTGGAAAGGTGATGGTTGCGGCATCGGCGTCTGGAGCGACGTCACCGCCATCGGAGCTTGTAGGGGCATGGTCCCCGCGCCTGGAAGGGCGAATGGGAACATACCAGGGAGGAAAGGCATCCCCCCGTTCTGTTGGCACATGGCCATGACCTGGCCAAAGCCCTGGATGGCTTGTAGGTTGGCTGGGTCATTCATGAACTGAGCCATGCTTGGTGGGAATGTTACCCTCGGTCCAGCGGAAGGGACGGGGGTCACGAAGGGACTGATCACGCTGGCCGTCAGGACAGAGCTCAGACCCAGAGGCAATACCGGGGCTGAAATGACCGGTATGGTAGCAGCCACAGGGACGCTGGCTCCCTCGTTGGTGGCCTGCACCTGAGCGGAAGTAGCGTTGATTTGTTGGCTGGAAGACATTTCGAGTGGTGTTTTGGTGGGTAGGTTTGTGTTCAGGAGAAGAAACCTTAACGGTCCCACGGGTGGCGCCAAAAATGATGGTGTAAATTACTTGACCGGTCAAACTATACTAGACCGGGTCTAAAATAGTTTGCTTGATTTGGCAAAGTAAGAAAGGTAAAAACACGCAGATTGACCGGTAGGACTTTAGGTGGAACACCTGTAGCCCACTTTATATTATAAGGGAGAATGCACGGGTGCTTTTACAAGGGAATTTAGAGAGAGTGAATTCGGATCCCTCTTTCTGAGGTTTACATGAGTATTTATACTAGGCTAAGGGGACAGGACCACGTGCGCCCACGTGGGGGCATGCTGCCGATGTGGTGCGAGGTGACTGGTTTCGTCCTCAAGCTGCCTTGTCGCCTTGTGAAGGGGATCATTCC